AGAACACGAATGATGTCTTGGTTGGTTTCACAAGCTATGCAACCCAGACACAGATGATGTCTCTGTTGGTTTCACCAAGGTATGCAGCAACCCAAAACATGGAGGATGTCTCTGTTTCACAAGCTGTGCAACCCAGAACGCCAGCAGAGGTGGCAATGGCAACGGCGCCAGCAGAGGTGGCAACGACGCCAGCAGAGGTGGCAACGACAACGACGCCAGCAGAGGTGGCAACGACAACGACGCCAGCAGAGGTGGCAACGGCAACGACGCCAGCAGAGGTGGCAACGGCAACGACGCCAGCAGAGGTGGCAACGGCAACGACGCCAGCAGAGGTGGCAACGGCAACGACGCCAGCAGAGGTGGCAACGGCAACGACGCCAGCAGAGGTGGCAATGGCAACGGTGCAGCAGAGGTGGCAATGCCAACGGTGCAGCAGAAGTGGCAATGGCAACGGTGCAGCAGAGGTGGCAATGGCAACGGTGCAGCAGAGGTGGCAATGGCAACAGCGCCAGCAGAAATGGCAACGACAACAGTGCCAGCTGAGGTGGCAACAGCACCAGCTGAGGTGGCAACAGCACCAGCTGAGGTGGCAATGGCACCAGCAGAGGTGGCAATGGCACCAGCAGAGGTGGCAATGGCACCAGCAGAGGTGGCAATGGCAACGGCGCCAGCAGAGGCGGCAATGGCAAGGGCGCCAGCAGAGGCGGCAATGGCAACGGCGCCAGCAGAGGTGACAATGGCGCCAGCAGAGGTGACAACGGCGCCAGCAGAGGTGGCAACGGCGCCAGCAGAGGTGGCAACGGCGCCAGCAGAGGTGGCAACGGCGCCAGCAGAGGCGGCAACGGCAACGGCGCCAGCAGAGGCGGCAATGGCAACGGCGCCAGCAGAGGCGGCAACGACACCAGCAGAGGTGACAATGGCGCCAGCAGAGGTGGCAACGGCGCCAGCAGAGGTGGCAATGGCAACAGCGCCAGCAGAGATGACAACACCGACAGCGCCAGCGGAGGTGTCAATGGCAACAGCGCCAGCAGAGGTGGCAATGGCACCAGCAGAGGTGGCAATGGCAACAGCACCAGCAGAGGTGGCAATGGCAATGGCGCCAGCAGAGTGGCAATGGCACGGCACCAGCAGAGTGGCAATGGCAACG